GGAGAAACCTTTAGTAGATTTTTCTTACTAGTCGAGTGTGAGCCACCTCTGTAAGCTAAAGGATAATGATAATGACAACTTAAAAACAACCGCTCAAAGCTACATCAAAATGAAATAAAGAAATGTTACGCTAATAGCAAATCACACTGATTCTCCAAGAGAACTCCAGAAAATATAAAATTATCTGAATTCTAAGAAATGATGCAAATCTTGCTTAAAATGTTGAATGTAACTGTAGAAGACCGCACTTTGACCTACCTGTAGCGAAAGGGTTAATATAATAACACTACGAATATTAAGTTGTTCATGCCAAGCCTCTTTGCATACATGACCAAGAACCATATGCATTTCAGCATCGAGGCATGGAATTCCCAAGAGAGTACTCAATTCCCCGACATTAAAAAAGCTGTCGACCTCAATATGTAGTAAGTGAAGTAACAGCTATCTTCCCGAGTGGGAGGGTAGGTAGATAATACATGGTACTGTGCTGTTCACACATTTCCTTACTTGTTTATTTCCAAACCGACCAGCATAGGCGACGTGTGAGTCTTTGTTTGGGTAAGTTATTCTATCATTCGTATGTGTGTGGGGGGCGGGGGGTACAGTTGGAAAGAATCAGTTCCTGCTCCTAAATAGATAAATTATTCTCAGTTATACGCTTGTTTGTTTGTTTTTGAATTTCGCGTAAAGCTACACGAGGGCTATCTGCGCTAGCCGTCCCTAATTTAGCAGTGTAAGACTAGAGGGAAGGCAGCTAGTCATCACCACCCACCGCCAACTCTTGGGCTACTTTTTTACCAACGAATAGTGGGATTGACCGTCTCATTATAAATTGCGAGTCGAGTGCCTTAACCACCTGGCCATGCCGCAGTTATACGCATACACTCTAATTAGCTCCCTCTCTACATATGCTGTATCATTTTTGAAGTTGGTGAGAATAATGCTCACTGAGGGTCATTTTATTTGGAGAGGTTAAGCTTTCCCAAACCCTTTATACACTCCGATCATGTTGTAAATATTTATAAAAAACAAACCCTAAAACAAATTTTCAATTTCGTGTAACTCAAGAAGTGAAAGCAATTTACCAGAAGCTTCTTTAATATTGATCTTAGGCCTCATGTTATGAAGAGCAAGGTCTCTATTATTTGTAGGTTTTGCAAATAATAGGCCCTTGCTAAGATCGTAAACCAATTAGATGTGATAGCAATCGGAGGCATTGTTCATCATTGGCCCTTGCTAAGATCGTAAACCAGTTAGATTGGACAACATCACATGATCTCAGGGCAGGCTAAAAATACATTATTCTAAATAAAGATCCCATATTAAGTCTAATGTACTTGAATACGTCCTAACAAAATGTAAAGTTGCTACCCCATCTAATTGGTTTACGATCTTAGCAAGGGCCAATGATGAACAATGCCTCCGATTGCTATCCCATCTAATTGGTTAACGATCTTGATAATGATCACTTGTAGGCCTAAGATCACAGTAATACTAAACAAAACTTAGTTTTTAATTTTCTTGTATGTATGGTACTTCTCATTTATTTAGTACTTCACCAAAACACAAGTTAAATTTTCATAAAATTAAACTAACTGACTAACAGGCAGACAGTAACAATAACTTGCTAACTCAATGACCAATGTAACAGGTTTACAAAATTAATTATCATCTGCTCTCGTCTAACTTGAATTTTCTACTATTTCAATTGTTACCTGGCTTTGAAAAAAGCAATAAGATACATCCACTAGGAAAGGTGAAAACTCCCTCTTGTCAAATACCGAATCTCTAACTTAAAAACATAGCATATTGTTACCCATCTGCTCGTTTGATAATTTCCTTAATTTCTGGTATAAATTCTTTTCGAGGAACTTCAGCGATACAAGTCTGTTC